ACTAAACGAAACCTCCTTTCGACACCTTTCCCTGTCCTCTTCCATAGGCCCAGAGCCCATTTGCTTCCCACCCCCGGGACTCAGCAGACCCAGACCTTGAAACCAGGGACAACCTCTTCCTTTTCAGAGCAGCAATCAGTGGACAGAGAAGTCATGGGCATTCACCAGAGGCTGCAAAATGTGCAAATCATGAGAAGGTACTAAGGGAGAGGGAGACTTGATTATTTCTGTAAGGAGCAGGGAGGGTGGTAGATCTAGGGAGCAGCAATTATCAGTGAAAAGCAAGGAGGCAGGTTAAAGGCAAGGGATGCAGAAGGAAACGAGAAGGGAGAAAGAGAAGGAAAGAGAGAACCTCTGTGAAGACCAAGAGAGGAGCTGAGCTCCCACTCAAACACGTCGTAATCCAGGACTTGGGCAGGAGGCCTCACTGCTTGACTTACTTACCCGGGGGGATGGTGGGGTGGTGGTGGGTGGGTTAAGCCACTGGAGGAAGGACATGATGTCTTCCCCAGTCGTGCCTCCAAATCTATACAGCAGCAGAGCAATGATCTCACCTCTAGTAAATACCTGCTTAAACCTATATTATGTCCACTGGGTATTCGGTTTGGGGAAAAGCAGATGAAAAGGCATCCAGTCTGAAGGGGATAGTTTCCTGCTTCATGGTCACCACTGTGGTCTGCAGGGCAGTGGGAGTGTCTGTTGGAGGCATCCACCCTGCTGGAGAAACAGCCAGGTGGATCCCCTTGGGTCCACCACGTGCTTCTCTCCTTAGAGGCCAGAGAAAAGGAAGGAACCTGCTTTACAGTTTTACATGTCAACCCTTGACTTGTGCTTTTTAATTAAAAGCAGTTAACTCAATCTTCTCTCACCTCCGGTAGAGTGACAGGGCTGAGTTTGATAGCAAAGCTAGCATACCATGAAAATGCAGTAACAATAATTTCCCAGCTCTCCTCCATTTTAGAGTTCCAGACATTCTGGGAACCTATATTTATTTCAACTGATGGTGCAGGTTTACAGAAAGATACATCAAGGCATGGTTACTAGTATTCCTAAAAAATGTTAATATGACTGAAGCACATACAAGACTTCTTAAGGTAGTATATTCTCTAAATGCATTTAAAACAATTCCAAAAACTCAAAACATGTTTAGGAAGACAAGAGTAGGGAATGTTGCTAGTTGTCCCTCTGACATCCATTTCCTACATTCCTTTTCTTAGTGGGCCTAGAATTTCCCAGTGGTGCAATTGGTTTCACTGCCCAGATCCTGGAGCAGGCTCTGATTGGCTTAATCCAGTCATAATAAACCACCTCCTTCTAACCACATTGATTGGTTTAAGAATGAGCACCTGGGGGTACCTGGGTGGCTCAGTTGGTAGAGCATTGGACTCTTGATTTTGGCTTAGGTCATGATTTCAGGGTCCTGGAATGCAGCTCCTTATCGGGCTCCGTGCTCAGCTGGGAGTCTCCTTCTCTCCGTCTCCCTCTTCCCCTGCCCCCTGCTCTCTCTCTCTCCCTCCCTCAAATAAATAAAGCTTAAAAAAAAAAAAATTGAGCACCCTGAAAGCCACTGAAAGCCAATGAGATTCAGTTAGGGGATTTTGGGTTAAGTGTTGAAAATGTAATGCCCTGCTACTGGATGTGAAAAAGCAAGCAGGTAGCCCCGGGAAACTTCCAGCTTTTTGGGTACTGGGACAGAAGGGCCTACAAATAGACCCACCAAGCACGGTGGTAGAAAGGTGGAGAAATTGGGTCCAAGTCACAGTTTTGCAGCCCTGGCTCAGCCTCCTTTTGGGAAATCCCCTTTATGAACCAATAAATTTGCTTTTCTGGGCCATTTGGGTCAGATTTTTCTGTTACTTGCCATCAAGATGTCTTAACTTACAAAAAATCTACCATGTAAAAAGTAAGACACATCTAAAACTTTTCACAAATAATTTAGACTTAGAGTTTCATTTTCACAATGAAATCTCATGAAGAACCACAAAATACTGATAATACCCACAAGAAGTATGTAGAAAGGAAATCATTTTTTTTCCTCCATTTGAGAGCTTTTCCTCTTCCTCTCCCTCCCTCTCCTTTGCTCCTTCCTCCTGCCAAAGGGAACACTGGGTAAATCCTATTAGGCTGCAGCCAAGTGCCCTGAAGCCTGCCTTTAGTGCAACAAATGGGTGCTGAGAATCTTACCATTTCAAGTGTATGGTGCCCTAACGTGTTGGTAATCTAAATTTTCCTTCCTTTTGTAAGTAATATACACTATGACCTCTTAAACATCCATTGTTACCTAGTGAAGAAAACACGAGCAGCTTTCAGTCCCTGCCTGCTAGGTGTGAACATTGGGCAGGTGTCAGTGCCAACTACAGCTGTTACAGATCTAATTACTGGGTCATGTATTGCCTCGCTTCCGGGTTGTGAGCCCCGTTTTGAATCCTCTTCGTATCCCTCGTTGCAGAGCAAATATTTGAAAATGTCCATTCAAGATGCTGCTGCTAATCTAATTGTTGCATTTGGTTAGATCCAATTTGGCACATATCTGGTGTAAATTACATGGCAGAGTTATTCTCTATCCATATCACCTATTATGGGGTGTTGGGCAGTTGCACTGGATCTTGCCCCAATTGCTCAACAGCTAAATTTCACCAAGTCTGTATAACCATTTGTACTAGGTTTCTAAGACAGATTGCTTTGATTTTGCTCATCCCCCACCCCCCATTCTGAGCTGCTGGGTCCCAGATCCAACTTGTTAATGCCCACGGGGCCATCAACTCCTTGATGGACATGGAGAACTGGGCTTGGCTGCTTTCTCCAGGTGGGGGAGGACAGGTTATCTGCTAGGTTTGGTATTGCCCTCTTGGCTTCTCTCCCTTGTTGACTAGATTGTTTCAGGATTAGGCGGTAGATGTTTCCATAGATCCAAAGTTCAGGCAGCTTAGAAGTACTGGGCATGTTGTCAGCTCTGGTTACCACTGGCAATGTGTGACCAGGGAACACTCTGTCAAGAGCCCCATGGTCAGTACAGTACCTAAGACGTGTGTTAGATGGCCCAGTAAAAGATACAGACACACACATAGATGTATTAAAGAACACATGGGCACTTCTGTCACTCAGGATCTGGCACTCGGTGCTGGCTTCAAAGAACTTAGAACCCTTAACACCCATTCTCACAATTAACAATGTTCAGACTGCAAGGCAATGTGACTTATGTCTTGCTCAATGTCCTAAAAACAAAGGTTACAGCCTATGAATGCCATGTAGATCTGTGGCACTGGTGATATTGGAATCTTTTTATTATTATTATTATTATTATTATTATTATTATTATTATTATTATTATTATGTTTGAATCTAACACTATTTTACATCCAAAAGTACTTGGATAAAAAACCTGGCAAACCTATCAAGTCCTTTCAGATCACATGAACGCAGTGACTCCTGTATTTTTGTACAAAGCATTGTTTCCCAGAGGTGAGAATCATCCATTTTCTTCTTTTGATGTTCCAATTTGTGGCTCCAGATGTACTCAAGAATTAGTATGGTGTTCTGACAAATGACAGCTAAGGAATGACAGCAATTCACGTATCTTAAGTATATGAATGTTGGAAATACTCTATGGGTTTAGATAATTCTTGCAAGGGATGGCACAAATCACAAAATAAGTGATAGCAACTCGTATGATGAAATAAAAATATTTTGGAAGTATTTTCTGTGCTAATTTATCATATTGACCTCATTATAATGCTGGATGTGAATGGGTGAATCTCTAAACCCGAATATCGCTTTAATTTTTTAAAAGTTTCAGTTGTAAATGCTTCAGCAGAGCCATTTCTCCAAACTGAAATTAATAAACCACACTATAAGAACGACAATGACTTAAGAAAGGTGGTCCGATTTGACATTAAGAACATAATCTTGATTGTCACAACATATTTAGTGATTTTGCTAAAATAAAGGTGAAAAATAGAAATTTCTGGAAAAACATAAACATTACTTGTGAATTGTCTCCATAATATTACCCACGCAGACATTACCAGCCCATCATTAGAACAGTCAGACATATGCAATAATGACTGAGTTCCGTCATCTTTGACATTTTACTGATACTCGATCATATAATAAACCAGAGCTTTATGCTTATATTTTCTGTTTCATTGGTATGAAAGTATAATTGTCAGGGTAATAATAGAAAACACTTGAAGAGCTTAATTTATAAACTTTAAATATTTAGGCATTTGCCACATTAGCCTCCATTTGTCCTCTTGCCCCATGGGGCAAAAATGTTGGTGGCGGCCAGAGAGGGTGCGTACCAGGATCCAGGATCCTCCCGGCTCTATTCCTCAGCGCGGGGCTCCCGGCAGCTAGCCGGCAGGTGCCCTCCGGCCCCGCCCCCGCCTCCCACCTCCTCGGGGATTGGCTACCTTGGGCTAGGGGGGCGGCCCCAAGGTCGGGATAAAGTTGGGGGTCGCGGGCGCCGCCGGCTCCAGGTTTCAGGCACTACGCACTAGGGTAGAGTGCGCCGAGTGCGGCCAGGTGGTCTCCAGCCGTGCGCTCTCGCTGCGTCCCAGGCGCAGTTCCCCATCCCCCTTTCGAGCCCGCTTGCTTCCCCGCGACCCCCAGGTGCGGCTCTTTGGGAGGGAAAAGTCAAAGTCCGGGCCTCAGTGCCTCGCGAGTGTCCGAGCAGGCTCAGCGCGCTGGCCCAGGGCGGCGGGGCGAGGGGTGCGGGGTGGGGACCCGGGCCGGGAGGGACCCGGGCGGCGCGCCGAGGCTGCAGGAAGCAGGGGCGGCGGCCGCTCGGGCCCTGGCTTGGCGGGGTGAGAGACACCCGGAAACGGATTCCATCGGGTGCCCGCGCGAGGGGAGCGTCTCGGAGGGAGCGGGAGGAGCCGGCGGGCGGGCGGCTGCTGAGTAATTCCCGCGGCGGCGGGAGGTGGCGGCCTGGGCGCTCCCGTCCCCCGCCGCGCTGCAGCCGGCCCGGCTCCTCCCCCCGGCCCGCCCCGGCCCGCCCAGCCGCGCGCCGCCCCTCCCCCGCCCCGCTCGGCTGCGCGCCGCTCCGGGCAGGTAGAGCCGCGCTGCGGGCGCGCCGGGGCCGCAGCAGCTGTCGCCCCACCTCGCCTCGGCCCTGCGCACAGCCTCGCGCGCCCATGGCGGGCTCGGAGCAGCAGCGGCCGCGGCGGCAGGACGACGGAGACTCGACCGTGGCGGCGGCGGCGGCGGCACCCCTGCAGGACGCGGAGCTGGCCCTGGCTGGCATCAACATGCTGCTCAACAACGGCTTCAGGGAGTCGGACCAGCTTTTCAAACAATACAGGTGACTGACGCGCCCTGCTCCCCCGCCCGGGCCACGCGCCCCTCCGGGCCGGCTCCCGCGCCGCGATCTGCCGCGGGCCCCAGAAGCCGCCTCCCCCTCCCGTGGGTCACTAATCCCCGGCCCCGGTGACCAGGTCGCCACCCTCGGCCTGCGCTGCAACCGGCGCTTCTGCGCCTTTGTCACATCGCCCCCTTCCACCCCCGTTCCGTTGTCCTTTCGCCCCGCGGGACCCGCCACCTGTCCTCCCCGCGCTCCCGCAGTCTCCCGTCACTTTCTCGGCCCCCCCCCCCCCCGAGAGGGGCGCCCAGTGCTTGTCCGCTTCTCTCTCACGGGTCCCGAGCCCGTTGGTTTGGGGACCTGGGACCGGATGCGATGGGAGGCAGCTGGGAGCCTCAGACTCTCAGTGCTGTGCCCGAGCCGCCTTTGTGACACAGAGCGCGCCAGCTGCATCGTGCCCTTTTCTTGTGCCTCGCGTTGCTTTGCATCGTTGTGCGTTCCAAACGCTTTTCTTGTTTGAAAACACATATGCGTAATTGCCTGCTAGTGCGGGAATGAAAAAGAAAACTCAACCGAACTCGGCTTGCTCACCTCTCTCTGCCTGTCTTCTGGACCTCAGTCCTCAAAATGAGTTCCTAATGCCTTTCAAGCGAGTGTACTTATTATGGACTTCTCTAACTTGAGGAAGAAAATGGAGGGATTGTAAATATATGTAAGGGTGGAAGGGAGAACACGTGTGCTCAGTTAGTTGCTTTTTAAAAATTCGTCTCCTAAAAAAATGAATCAAAAGAACTGAAACCCGTTATCGTTCTTCTGTGAGTGGGAGGAGCCTTCAGTTTCACTGGGGACCAGAAGCATCTGCTTTCTGGTTTAGGAAACAAGTTTGTGATTTGCCCTTCCAGTGTTGAGTCTCAAGGATGTTGATTAGCAACTTCCCTGTAGGTGTTTAAGGGACAGATGCTTCACACTTTTTCAGACCTGGGTGGTTTGGTAGGAATGAAGGGACCGTTGTGCATCTGTGATTATGAGCCATGGTCTGTAAGGAAATGAGAGGAGGGATAGGGGAGGTAGAGACAGATGCGTTTCGTTTTCTGACTTAAAAGATTGGTGGTTCTACGGTTGGAGCTTTCACTTTTTAATGGTAAAGCGAGTATCTCACTCAACTATGAACTCTTCACTAAAGACCATTTACTCTTAAGGCAGTTTTTTGTTTAAAAAAAAAACAAAACCCCAAAGTGGAAACATCTTAGCTTTACTCAGGCCATTTTATTTTTAAAGGCTACCAGGCTGATTTCAGTCTGAGAATGTACTTCATGAAAAAACCACATGTGAGTGTTTGGTACAGTGCTCTGATTTTTTTTTTTTTTTTTTTTTTAAGATTACCAGTTGTGTTGTATGAGAGAGAAGGCTGGAGAAAACCTGAGTCAAATTAAATTTACTCTTTGACTCAAGATACTGTGCTTGCCTATTTCAATACTTCTTGCTTTTGAAATGTTCTTACTTGTTTTAACATTTTTTTCTAAACTGCTTTCATGTACTTAAATAGCACCTTGTTTCTGTATATTGAAAGCATGAAATAAGGCAGAAATACTGTTATCTAGACTATTTTATGTGCCGTTAAAAGAAGGCAGATTATGAGTGATAGTTATTTTCTCAGAGAAACTGATGCACCTAAAAAGGAGTTTCTCTGTGGGTGAGTGTGTTGAGGGTAGAGGAGGGGGAGGTGTCCAGGGAGGATTTACAGTATATAGACAGGAACTGTCTGTGTGTGTGTGTGTGTGTGTGTTTGAGATTCATTTTATTTTAGAGCGGACAGGCAGGGGGAGGGGCAGAGGGAGAAGGAAAGAAGCAGACTCCCCACTGAGCCAGGGCACCCAAGACACAGGGCTCAGTCCCACAACCCTGAGATCATAGCCTGAGCTGAAATCAAGAGTTCCCCACTCAACCGACTGAGCCCCCCCACAGGCGCCCCTACTTGTGTTTTGAAATAAAAGATGAAACTATTGTAGTATCTGTTTTCTGCCAGGCACAGTGCTGGCATATTCTTGCTTATATTCTTATATTCTCACTATTCTGGTGACAACAAAAGGGTGAGCTGTATTTTTATCATGACAATTTTATCATGAGGGGCTTGAGTCTCCGTGTTTAGCTTGGACCAGGACACAAGCGTAGTGGTTCTAAATCAGGGCTCTTTTCATTATCTCATTCTGCCTCACTAAAATTATTATACAGTTGACCCTTGGCCAACATGGGTTTGAACTGCATGGATCTACTTCCACATGTATTTTTTAACAGTACTGTAAATGTATTTTTGCTTCCTTGTGATTTTTTTTTTTTTTTAAGATTTCCTTTGTCAGAGAGCATAAGCAGGGAGAGCGGCAGGCAGAGGGAGAAGCAGGCTCCACGCTGAGCAGGGAGCCTGATGTGGGACTCGATCCCAGGACCTCTGGGATCATGACCTGAGCCGAAGGCAGACGCTTAACCGACTGAGCCACCCAGGCGTCCCTTCCTTGTGATTTTCTTAAGAATTTTTCCTCTAGTTTTCTTTATTATAGGAATACAGTATGTAGTACAACAAACAAAATACTATCAATAAGGCTTCTGGTCAACAGTTTGTTACTAGCAGTTAAGTTTTTGGGGAGTCTTGGTGCCCCTGACCCTCATACTGTTCAAGGGTCAACTGTATTTTGTGATTTGCCTTCTGATCTTATTTTCTAGTAATTTAAACTTTTTAAAGGTGTAGACAGTGGTAGCATTTTGCCGTGAGCTTTCCCTTGATCCCTCTAATTTGTCCATGATGTGGGATGGCCTTGCATTCTTGCCACCTCCCAATGTGCTGCTGGTCCATATTTTGGCAAACACACTTGTGTAGATGTGTGGTTGTGGACCAGAATCCCGTAACCAGGGTTACAGTTGTAGTTTTGCCACTTTTTGTAGCTGCTGACTTTGGTTACTCAAAATTTGCTTCCTCGCTTATAAAATGGGAGTAGTGTACATCATAATGTGGTTGTTAGGATTAAAAGAAATAATCCATGGTAGCTGGCACAATGTAAGCCCTCAGTAAACGCTAGCTAGCTTTATACTTGATGCCTTCCGCACTATTGTGCTTTCTTCTTGATGGCATAGTTTGAGTAGAAGGAAGAAACATCCTGTGTGCAGGTAGCTTTTATATATATATATATATATTTTTTTTTTTTTTTAATTTATTTATTTGACAGAGAGACACAGCAAGAGGGAACACAAGCAGGGGGTGGGAAAGGGAGAAGCAGGCCTCCCACGGAGCAGGGAGCCCGATGAGGGACTCGATCCCAGGACCCTGGGACCATGACCTGAGCCGAAGGCAGACGCTTAACGACTGAGCCACCCAGGCGCCCCGCAGGTAGCTTTTATATTTAAGGTTAGCCTCACAGAGGGTGTATGAAAGATTTAGATCCTCTTATGTATTGGGAAATGTGTCTTCTGTTCCAGAGTTGAATGGTCTGCTGGAAAACTTAGTGACTTTATTATAAGTACTCCAGGAACACCTCTACTCTGTTTATGGAAGAGAAAGCTATTTGGTTTTCTCCTTTCTTAGGATTGTTTTGTCACAGAAGACCATCCTTTCCCTACTAGTAAACCTTCCAGAAGCTTATCCTCATAGTTTAACAAAAGAAACATATTTTGCATCTAGTGTAACAATAACATCTTTATTAAAGCAAGAAGATCATTTTCTCATGCCACCTTATTAGCATGATAAGTTTCATGGACAGCTATGGAATGAGGAGAAATGGTTACTTCATAGAAACCTATCATGAAGGCCATTCTGAATTAATGGAAAGCCTGGATTGTGTAATTTAGATATGACATATAGGAATTAGAAATATATGCACAGTAGAGTCTTTCTTTTGAGCTGTAAGAGGCTCCTTAGTTGGGATTTTCAGAATATAACTCACTTCTACTGTAACTCTAGTAATAATGTAACAAGGTGCCCTATTCTTGGAGCTGAGACCCCATCATGCACTTGGGGATGTGTTCCCAGAGGTTGAAACAGATGGATGCTGCTGTGGGGGCTTTCTGCTTTGACCCTGAGGACACAACTTTGCACCTTCATGAGACTGACTACCCGAAATCAAATTCCTATTGTTGGCCTTTGGGCTTCGTGATCTAATGCAGCTGAGCTCACTCCCCCTCTGCGCGCCCCCCCCCCCGCACTCTTAACTGATGTTCACGTGTGTGACGGAGACTCAGAGATTTAGGTACTCAGACACACAATAAAATAGGGGCTAGTTATGTGCACAAGGAACAGGCCCTAGATTTTAGGTGTTGTGGTGTAGGTACAGTTGACAGCGGTGTGGCGAATGGGAGACGTGCCCAGGGTGCGCTCTGACCTATGGGAGTGGAGAGCAGCTGGAGTGTAACTCAGCAGGAAGGAAACTTTAGTGGAGGAAATGCTGTCTGAGCATCATGGGGGGGGGGGGGCGTTGGCAGGGGGGTGGAAATGGGTGAGCACAGCAAGCCGATCAATGTGATTAGGTTGTCCCATTGATTGGCTGATTCCGCACTTGGCATTTTCGCGGATCACTGGTCAGTCTGCATTTCCTGTGAGTCAGTGCAGCTTTTCGGGGTTACTTTGCTGCTGGTCATCCAGTTAACTCATGTTGTATGACCACCGTGTTCCTCACCGTGGCCCTCACGGCCATAATTGACTCTTGGCGCCTTTTTCTCTTTTTGGCATGTGATATTACTTTTTTAATTGGAGAACTATCCGGAGAGGTGAAGCACATTAAGCTAGGAGGAAGACAGGAGACATTTGGAGTTCTTGGCCAGAATGAAATTTGTTCTTCTTTCCTGGACTGGACGTTTATCTCCCTCCTCTCCTTGGTGCCACAGCATCTCCTCCTGCTTTAACTCCTTGTGTTCTTTCTGACCTTAAAATATCTGCAGTTCTTCCCCTGCCAACACTACCACCAATTTTTGGCTGTAGGTGTTATTAAAAAGTCATATTAAAAAAACCATTGTCCTCT